TTAACGGGTCTTCCTTGTAGGTGTATGGATATTATCCTATCACTGATAACATTGCACTTCAGGACAGATCTCAAAACATCTCTTGTGATGATGAATGCCACACCATGTCATTCCTGGCATAGTAGATCATATGGTTGTATGATTCAAAATAGCTAAAACCAGTCCACTTCACCTCACTAATGCCTAGGATATCAATCTTTTTTTTTTTAATTATTTTTTATTTTAAGACCTTGTTTTACATTCAATGTAATGCATACATTTAGTTTCATTCTGCATTTGCCATATCCAACCCTAACCCAGTCTCCTCCTCTCCCTACCCTATAACCCTCCCCCTGTGCCCCTCATATTTATGCACTCCTGTTTGTCCTGCATTTCCTCAGTTTGAATGTTGGTCTTTTGGTGTCCCATGGTCTATTGCTCTAAGGGATGTATTACCATAGAGTATGTGGGTGTGTCATCCTGAGTTGAGTGGTCTGCGTGTACATCTTTTTAACTACTGGGCTGAGAGGCCACCCCTAGGGGTGAGTTTTATTCCAGGCATAGAATGTATTCTAGGGCCATAGTATTGGGAGTCTCACCAGATTTCACCTGACCAGTAACTCTGGTCATTATTGAGTTTTTGGATTTTGTTCCACATTTTCCCACCCACCCTATCCAGGATCTCCAGATTTGATCCTTTCCTGAGTGGTTGGCATTGGTAGCTGGGCACTATCTAGTTGTTCTGGTCTTGAGGTCCATCGTGTCCTAGGCTGGTTGCTTCTAAATGCCCTCCCCCCCCTTTTTTTTCATTCTTCACTTTCGATGCTAGGAGACTGTCAGCTGCATCTTAGATGGCCGCTTGAAAGTTTTTAAGACCCCAGTCACTACTCACCAATGTAGGATATGGAGCAACGCTTTTATGAATTTTGTTGTGCCAATTGAATCTGGTGTCCCCTGGTACCATGGTCCTGAGGCAGTAGATCTATTGGATCTCTCCCCCATAGTGTCTAGTTTTCTGTGAGGGATTACTCTGTGTCTGTCTTCTATTGTTTCTGCAAGGACTGCAGGTATTTTGTATCACTGGTGTCTATGCAAGATTAGCCTCAGCTGAATCTATAGGATATCAATCTTTATGCATTCCATTTCATTTTTGACAACTTCCAATTTTCATAGATTCATACTTCATACATTCCATGTTCCAATTATTAATGGATGTTTGCAGCTGTTTCTTCTCAATTTGAGTCATGCCACATCAGCACATGGAAGTCCCAAAAGATTTACTTTATCCATATCACTAAGGTTGGTTCTACTCTGAGAGGCAGCTCTTTCCTAGTCCTATTTTGAGTGCCTTCTGACCCAAGGGGGTGGTCTTACTGCACTGTGTTGGACAATGTTTCCAAGTTATTCATGAAGTTGCCCAGTAATATATCAGACAGTGTTTCTCTGCTATTCATAAGGTTTTCCCTGGCCATGTTTTTGAGAAGTGGATGGCCTCTTCCTTCTTCCTAGTCTGTCTCAGTCTGTAAGTTGCATTGAAACCTGTGCACCATGTGCAACCCTGCTGGCACTTGAAACACCAGTGGCACAGCTTCACAACAATGTGCAAACCCCACAGGATGACAAACAAGTTTGTCTCCCTTAGCTGTTGGAAACCTCTCCATCCTCCCCTTACCTAATTCCTGCCTGGATCCTGCAGTTTTTAACATCCTACCATTGACATTTCAGAACTAATAAATTCAGTCAGCATAAGACAAAATTTGTAGTAACAACTTTCATACCTCTGCAGTTGTAAATATTTCACTAGCAAGAAGGTAAGCACAAACCATAGTTCCAGTTCTCCCTAGAAAAGAGAAGAAATTAGTTCCAGGAACCACTATTAAAATTAGTATCTGTAAAAAACCATGAGACACCACTAGACACCCACTCAATGCCTAAAAGTACAAAGACTGATAATCCCAAATGTTGGTGAAATTTTTTTGGAAATCTTGGAAATTTCATACAATGCCAGTGGTATACAACTGTTTTGGAAAACAGATGGCATTGTATATTAAAAATTAAAGGACAATTGGCTATCCGTATGGGAACCTTCCCCCCAAGTTTCAATTAGATTAAAGATCTAAATGTAAAAAATGAAACTAATATATTTAAAACAAATGCAAGAGAATAGCTTTACTACTTCAGAGTAAAGGTGGATTTCTTAAACATGATTTTAAAAAAAGCACAAACCACATACACAAAACATTGATAAATTTGACTACATTTGAAATTACAGACTTCCATACAACAATATATTACTTGCTGGTTTGTATTTTCATCTATTCCATTTTTTAAAAAGCATACAGATCACAACCCAATACATTTATTTTACAATCCACTGGCAGATTGTGATCCGTAGTTTGTAAAACACTCTCCTCTCAAATTTAAAATTGAATATTCAAAGAAGACACTTTCAATATCTACTACTAACAAAAAGTTAGCATCTAAGCTACTTAAAGAACTTGAATAAATCAATAATAAAATACTCTGAATATTATGATACAACTGTAAAGTGCAGGCACCAACCAACAGGAACAGAGTGAGACCAATCTTAAGCAACTATTGGCAACTTAAGCAAAGAGGCTGCACTAGAGCATACTGGCTGAACACTACCCCTCTAAACCTCCCTAAAGAAAATCGATAGACATATGAACCCAGGATAATGCAAGCCCCATCTAGAAAAAAAGAAAAAAAAATCAAATTTGAAATTGATGTTTTCCTTCAAACAGCAAATTAGCTTTAATTGAAAGAAAACTGTGAAGCCAGTAACTTGGATTAGAATATTTGAGGTTGAATTATGTGAAATGGTCATTTTTTGAAAGTAAAAATTGGACACATATTGATAATCTCATGTAGTTCAACCTCTATCTTATTCATTTAGCCACTGTATTGCAAAATTCCAGTGTATATACAATATTTCAACCTACAGAATTAAACATAGAATTTGCTTACTAACTATTGAAATTAGTTCTTAAGACTAAAATTTGATTCTACTAGATTATAAAAGGCAATTGTACAGTGTTGTATTGCCCCACAAATCAATATAAAACCTGTGTTATAGTCCATCAAAAATGTAATTCTTTACATTTTTCAAAAACTTGAAATATGTCTAGATGAATAGGAAATATGTCTAGATGAATAGCCTGAATAAGAGAAAGTATAATAGGATTTAAATCAGTTGGATTTAAACTTTTTTTTCTTTTCATTTCACCCCTACCAACCAACTTCTTTGTATTGTTATGCTATAAAAATCTAGTACAATTTTGCATTTTGAAATAACCTTAGAATGTTCTCATGAAGTTTAAGAATAACTTTAAATAAAATAAAAAGTGCTCTGACAGTTTCTACAGTTAAAAACGATTTCATTTTCATAATTGTAAACTGAAAAATAAAAAAATGAAGAAACCCACATAGTTAATAAACAAGAAAAAATATGCTCAATTCTTCCTTCAATTTTTTTTTCCTATTTTCATCCCTCTCCCCTCCCCCTCTTCTCTTTCCTTCAGTCTTCTTCTTTTTTTTTTTTTTTTTTAATTGTGATTTGGGTGAAGATTTGCAGAGCAAATTCACTTTCCATAAAGCAGTTCACATAGACTTTGTCTCAT